GTTCCTCCCCTGCAATACATTAAGCTTCTTAGTGGAGGTTTTTCCTGTTTTAACATTTTGTTCTGGCAAGAAAACAAATTGGTGTCATGGCACAGGAATATAGATGTAAACATACTTTCAGGTGAAGCAGAAGATAAAATGGCAATGATGAAATTCTGTGCAATGTTTTCTAACATCTATTTAAAACTGCCAACTTAAAGCAACACTTCAAATAGTTTAAAGTGGGGTTCTTTGGGGATTGTATGAACAGTATCAATTTTCTTGTTCTAGATAGCTCCTGCATACTTTTCTACAGAATCTTATTTGAAGATTTGAACTATTGCTTTAAAAACAAAGAAAGCTTTGCTGCATTTATCCTTCAGGTCACTACTTTTCAAGTGTTTATAAATTTGATTTATGAAATTTACAAGGCAAAAGTACTGACTGACAGACATTGAAAAGCCTCCACATTTTTAATGACACTAAAGTCAAGTTGCATAAAGCAAAAAACATGTAATCCACCCATCCATTTTCCCCCTGCATTTTCTTTGCCATGTTGCAGGGGAATGGATCCATTCACCAGTGGCAGTTGCGCAAGAAGCAGTTACACCCGACAGGTCACAAGAGCTGGAGAAAATCTGCACATGCACTGGGAGAATGTTTGAAGGTCACAAAAAAGGGCCAGGAGGCGAGCCTGCAACCTTCTTGCTGTGAGGTGACAGTGCTAACCACTTTACTACCATGCCATCCCACAATCGCAATGCAAAAACAAATATTGCTGGATAAAAATACAATACCGTGCATATGCCTCATTGACTTTCTTTTAAATATACCGGTATGTATATTATGTTTTTTCATTTTTTTCTTTCTTGGCTTTGTCTTTCAGTCTCGATATTTTTGATAAATGAAGGCTACCTACAGCTACTCAGAAACAAACTTGAGGCATAACAAAAGTTTGACAGTGACAGATGGACTTTAGTTTATCTGACCCATTCTGGTTCCTGGTAAAAGAATATACTGTACTGTGTGGGTTTTACACCAACAGATGGCCTGTGGTTTGAACTGTTAGCATTCAGTCTTTTCAGTGAGAGTTTCTCTTAAATTTTCTGTTGACTTTTTAGCATGTTAAATACTTTAAGCCAATCCCACAGATGGCCTAAATGAAAATACTTAAACAATCTGTTGCCAAGAGATCACTCCCTCCCACAGATGTGCACTTCTTCAAGAGTGTATGGAAAAACTGAAAGTAATCAGAGCTCACCTGAACAGGAGGATGCTCATTTTATGCACCATCCATTTCAAAAATAAACATAATAGTAAAAACCCAAGGAAGAGGGCTGGCAATGGAGGAGGGAGCGTGACAAAGAGACCAACTTATCACCAACATAACTGGTTTGTTCCACTTTGGAGTAAGCTGTTGGAGGAAGAATCAGTTTTGTGTTGTATGTTTCTTTGACTGATGAAGCCTTCCATATCGAAGGCGAAACGTTTCAGCACTAAAAAAGAAACTGTCCAGATGACCTGACTGAAAAATGTTGGATTGTATACCTGGATTATTGTGCACGGATTTTGTTGTTATAATAGTAAACAGTTGAAACTAGTAGAGCCTTTAAAGTTTTTAGTATAATTTTGTAAGGGATGGGGCTGTTTACATTTGTGCCTTCATTTACATTCTATAGATGGAGAAGAAATTGTTTAAAGTGTGTAAACCATTCAGCAGGTCATCTGGACAATTTTTTTTGTTGTTGTTGAGATGTTTCGTCCTTCATCCATAGGACTTCATCCATCCATGGAGCCACAAACACAGTCCCACAAGCAGCGCACACACATAGTGGACCAACAAGTTTGGTAGTGATAAGATGGTTTTTGGGAACGGCTCTCTCCCCTTGATGTGTAAACAGAGCAGAGTCTCCTGTGAGATGGATCTTTAACTCCCACCTCCGGGAGAACTTCAAACATGTTCCGGGGGAGGTGGGGGACATTGAGTCTGAGTGGGCTATGTTCCTTGCCTCTATTGTCGAGGCGGCTTACCGGAGCTGCGGCCGCAAGGTTGTCGGTGCCTGTCGTGGCGGCAACCCTTGAACCCGGTGGTGGACACCATTGGTGAGGGATGCTGTCAGGCTGAAGAAGGAGTCCTATCGGGCCTTTTTGGCCTGTGGGACCCCAGAAGCAGCTGATGGGTACCGGCAGTCCAAGTGACATGCGGCTCGGGTGGTCACTGAGGCAAAAACTCAGGCATGGAAGGAGTTCAGAGAGGCCATGGAGAATGACTTCCACACGGCTTCAAGGCGATTCTGGTCCACCATCTGGCATCTCGGGGGGGTAAAGCGGTACGCCACCAACACTGTTTATAGTTGGGGTGGTGTGCTGCTGACCTCAACTCGGGATGTCGTGGGTCGGTGGGCAGAATACTTTGAAGACCTCCTCAATCCCACCTGCATGTCTTCCACTGAGGAAGCGGAGCCTGGGGACTCTGGGTCGGGCCCTCCAATCTCTGGTGCTGAAGTCACCGAGGTGGTTAAAAAGCTCCTTGGTGGCAGGGCCCCAGGGGCGGATGAGATTCGCTCAGAGTTCCTTCAGGCTCTGGATGTTGTAGGGTTGTATTGGCTTATGCAACTCTGCAATATTGTGTGGACATCGGGGGAAGTTCCCCTGGATTGGCAGACAGGGGCAGTGGTCCCCCTATTCAAAAAGGGGGACCGCAGAGTGTGTTTCAACTACAGGGGGATCACGCTCTTAAGCCTCCCTGGTAAGGTCTATTCAGAGGGTTCTGGAGAGGAGGGTCTGTCGGATAGTCAAACCTCAGATTCAGGAGGAGCAGTGCGGTTTTCGTCCTGGTCGTGGAACACTGGACCAGCTGTACACTCTCAGCAGGGTCCTGGAGGGTGTGTGGGAGTTTGCCCAACCGGTCTACATGTGCTTTGTGGACTTGGAGAAGGCGTTCAACCACGTCTCTCGGGGAACCCTGTGGGAGGTACTCTGGGAATATGGGGTACCGGGCCCTTTGATACGGGCTGTTAAGTCCCTGTATGACCGGTGTCAGAGCCTGGTCTGCATCGCTGGCAGTAAGTCGGGCTTGTTCCCGGTGAGAGTTGGACTCTGCCAAGGTTGCCCTTTGTCACCGATTCTGTTCATAACTTTTATGGACAGAATTTCTAGGCGCAGCCAAGGTGTTGAGGGGATCCGTTTTGGTGGCCTTCGGATTTTGTCTCTGCTTTTTGCAGATGATGTGGTCCTGTTGGCTTCATCAGATCATGATCTACAGCTTTCGCTGGAACGGTTCGCAGCCGAGTGCGACACGGCCGGGATGAAGATCAGTTCCTCCAAATCCGAGGTCAAGGTCTTGAGCCAGAAAAGGGTAGAGTGCCCTCTCCGGGTCAGGGAGGAGGTCCTGCCCCAAGTGGAGGAGTTCAAGTATCTTGGGGTCTTGTTCACGAATGAGGGAAAAATGGAACGTGAGATCGATAGGTGCAGCGTCTGCAGTGAAGCTGGCGCTGTACAGGTCTGTTGTGGTGAAGAGAGAGCTGAGTCAAAAGGCGAAGCTCTCAATTTACCGATCGATCTACGTTCCTACCCTCATCTATGGTCATGAGCTTTGGGTTGTGACCGAAAAAACGAGATCTCGGATACAAGTGGCCGAAATGAGTTTTCTCCGCAGGGTGTCTGGACTCTCCCTTAGAGATAGAGTGAGAAGCTTGATCATCCGGGAGGGACTCAGAGTAGAGCCGCTGCTTCTCCACATCGAGAGGAGCCAGTTGAGGTGGCTCAGGCATCTGGTTAGGATGCCTCCTGCACGCCTCCCTGGTGAGGTGTTCCAGACACGTCCCACCGGGAGGAGACCCAGAGGAAGACCCAGGACACGCTGGAGGCACTATGTTTCTCGGCTGGCTTGGGAACGCCTCGGGATTCCCCTGGAGGAGCTGGACCAAGCGGCTGGGGAGAGGGAAGTCTGGGCCTCCCTACTTAGGCTGCTACCCCCGCGACTTGACCCCGGATAAGCGGAAGAAAATGGATGGATGGATGTGTAAACAATTATTAATACATTTTAAAAGAATGTATTTATTCAATTATATTTGAATGAAGGGGAAACTTTTGCACTGTATTCTTGTTCATCCATGTTTTTGTACCCCCATCTACAAAACAATGTATAATTGAAACATTACTCCCTCAGTGATTGCAGCAGTCTCTGTGCTGTTGAAGGAACATTTGTCTGCAGGTGCTTTCATTCTACTTTTTTTTTCTTCCTATGTTATCTGTTCTCTAACATAATGATCCTCACCTCTGTCCTGGACAGATCTCTCTGAACCCTACTAATGGTTACTCTGTTCTCTTCCTGCAGAAACTCACCTCCTGGAAGATTTCACAGCAAGACCTGCTCTCCAGTGAGACTACTATTACATGTCAGACATATGCCCATCTCTTTAGGAATCCAATCCATCAAGTTGTCAGACATGGTGCTTTCACTGTGTCATGGACAACTGACTTTTATATTAAGCTGCAGACAGTTTTGAGACAAATATTAGAGCAATCTTGAATATTTATATCCCTGTTAGTCAAGGTCATAAAGATGGGAAACTTAAAAAGTATTGAAATATTTACTTTAAACATTAAAAAAGGGACATGATAATAAAGGGATATATTATGATTGTGCATTGGACCATGTTAATCTATTTATTTTAATATAATTGTTTTATGCCTGAATTCAATTCCTAAAAGTGCTTCAATCACTGATGCTGAATAACTCAAAAATGAGTACACATTTGCACATACTTTATGAACATAGAAGAAAAGTAGACTTTTTTTTACAATATCTCACTAAATATATTTACATGACATACAATTTGCCATCAGTGCAATACATAGGAATGTTGCATATTTACCAAATGTTAGACTCTTTCCTTTATGAAGAAAAATAATTTCATGATTTAAGCTTATTTAACTAACATGTAAAGTAACATGTTCAACTTTCATAATTTGAACAAAGTCACAAGAAATTATACTAAAAAATCTTTATACCACCCCATCAACCATCATATATTAAGCAATGAAAAAGTAATTGATCACATGTACATACTGTATGTCTTCATACATGTAATGGATTGCTTTGTACAAATAATTTTTTTTATAGCTTTGGCAGTTTATCAGAAACAAAGTTATCAGAAAAAGTAAAGTCAAACTGCCTGCTATGTCATGTAAGCTTGCCTTCCAAAGCTCATGTTCACAGTGGTTGTTCAGGAAGGCTGGAAGTCAAAAACAAAAAACAAAATGCCAAAAAAAAAAAAATCCACCCTTTCTGTTAAGACTGTTAGCACTGGAGGCTGGCGTCACTGTTGTCACGTTATAAAATTACAAACATCTATGAGGGTTCACATAGCAGTCATCGCCATTAAAAAAAATAATCAAACAACGCACACACAAAAAAAAAAAAACGGTCATTTTTTTTCAGGTTGACTTAAAATACAAACAGTTTTAAAGGCAAGGGGACAAGACCCTGCTCGGTAGTCACTGTGGAATTATGGGAGAGACATGACTGAGAGAAGACATGCACAAGAGTGCAGTGCGGAAGAACGCAAAGCCAAAAAACATAAAATAACAAGGGTGCAAAAAAAAAAGACTCTGCAACAATCAGAACGCTACGCAGTCAGAAGATGATTTACACCAGACGAAATAATCGAGCAAATTTCAAACGTACAAACTTCACCATAATTCATTGACGTTAATTTTGTTTCCTTTTTTTTTTTTTTTCTCACTTGTTTGGCACTTTATTGGAACAAATCTCTGCTCAAAAAAGACTAAATGTTGTACAAAAGGTATCATGTCTCATTACAATAACTCGTAGAATATAGTACTTAATAGTGAGCATACGGTAAGTAAACACTTGTACATACTTTAGTTTTAAAATGAACATTCCAACAGATGTTTTACACACATGCACAAAAACAAACACAACTCTCACTCATGCTGCCACGCCATATTTGGACCTCCTTTGCTACTCTTTGGACAAACTCATTCTGACGCTGTTTCCAACGTCCGTCTCAAACGATTGCTACGATGCACAGCAGCTTCCCCCTCCTTCCCTTCCTCCTACTGTAGACAACACAACTCTTAATACTGCGCTTTGGCGCCACACTACGACACTTCCTCTGTTGAGCGTGTGTCAGTCTTAAGACGCACAAACTCTTTGGCCACCTCATCGTTGGTCCTTTGGGAGAGTATCCTCATAATGGTAAGGCCCGTTTCGTCCATAGAGACGCTCTTCACCAACGGGTAGCAGGCTGAGCAGCTGCCTTTGTCCGCTAGCTCTCGCAGCTGGATGACTGTCATGCCAATGATGCGATCCTCCCGGGCAAAGCAGTAGTCCTTTACTGACACGTGCAGCTCGTAGACCTCTGGACCATGTTCGTTACTCAGAATACTGGGACAAATAGCAGAGAGATAAAGGTTGTGAAGCTCAAAAGGTCTAAAATGTTATTAAGATGCACAATAGAAAATAAAAGAGCAATTTCAAAACACCCAACGGGGGGATGAGAGAATAAAGTTTTACCATAGTGTAAACAAAATGACAAAAAGCACAAATATTGTCAAGAGATACGTCACCCAAACTATGAACACTATAGAGGCCCAACATCCCCATCAGAACATTTGTATATGAAATCACGCTAATTGCTTTTTGGATCCTGACGTTCAGCTTTGTTCTCAGCTGAATGTATCCTGTCAGTAAACGAGTCGGGCTAGATGACATTTCCCAGTAAAATGACTCCCCTTTGTATCCATTGCAATGATGGGACAATTCAGCCAAGTTCTGCAAGGGAATGTCTTTATTTAGACGAGCCAGTACACTTGGCCAGCCATGTTCTCAGGATGATTTCTAATTATTCCCTGCAATGGAACGCTTTAAAATTAAAATGATAACGCCTGTGGGCGGGGAATATACACTTCATCTGCAAAAATATATATACATATATATATATAAAATTGACTACGCAAAAAGGTAGTGTCCTTTGTTTCAGTTGGCGACACTTATGTACACATTAATGAGTTATTTAACCATAATTAATGCAATGAGAAGATGTTCATTCCTTAAAAACAAGTCTGAAAAAGCACCAAATGGAAAATATGTTACTTTCTTTTTTTTTAACCTCTAAATTTTTATTCAACATCATTGAACGAAACAACTAAGGAGTTTACAGAACATTCAAAACGGGTTAACAATTATTTTGATCTGAAATTATTTAAATGTTTTTGGTGCAATTTCTGAATGGACATGCACCTGTAGAGGTTGAAGCCAATCCACCCCCAATGTGCCTTTGTGCCTCCAAGCAAGGTAGTAACGGATCTGTAATGGCTGACATGTGAACAGATAAACCACTTTTGTGGCTCAGAGACGTGACGAACCATCCAGCCTCAGAAATTATAAAAAAATTTGAACACACACAACATCTTTGTATTTATAAAAACAACAACAAAAAAAATTACCACAAAGAGAATCACTAAACTAATTGTGGTTTGAACATGATAAGAGGGCGAGGTCTTCAATGTGTAGCTCTCCATATGAAAACAACTATTCCGTTCAACAGCTCTTTTAACTCTGCAAAACTCACTTCATTTCTGAAAGCTCACATCTGTGTGGGGCGTTGCTGGCTCGGTGGTTCAGTGGTTTTGGAATGATCAGAGGCAGCTCGGCTCATTCTAGCTTTTGTATACATTTTGTGAAACACCTTCAGTGTCAGTGCAGACAGTATGGAGCTGCTACTTGAAATGAGTTGTTTGTTAGAGCAGCTTGGCTCTGTTAATCACAGTGTTAAAGAGGGGATCACATCGTTAAAGCAATTACTTGATTTTTCTTTACTACTTTAAAGTGAGGAATGTAAACAAATGAAACAATGAATTATCTTCAAAACCTAATGCAGATAGACTTTCAGTGTGTTGTTACAGGCGCTCGAATAAATTAGGTCAGGTTTATCTGTGGTGTAAACACAGCATACATGCTAGATAATATCCATAAAAATCACAAAAAAAACAAAAACAGTCTTTCTTTTGTTACCATCTAATGTTCTAACCCTAAATAAACAATACTCACTATTGGAATGTTTCATTGTACTTTGGTGACCAGTTGTTATTCTTGGTCTTGGTGCTGAATTTGCGCTTCTTGTCAGCCAGGTGTGGACCAATGGCGTTGACCTCTACAAATGGCCTGAACATCGCGTTGGTCTGCCAGATGAGGTTGTTCACTGCAATCACTGAAACATTAAGAAATATAGCGATTGTATTTATTACATTGTGACTACAGCAGAGACACAAACTGGGATTTTTGAAATGCTCTGTTTGGTTTGTTTTTCTGGGGTTTGGTAAAACCTTTGAAACCCATATTGCCAGTATTTTTATTTATTCATTTTTGGTTGATTTTTTTGTTAGAACATGCAGTTTTTTTCAGACAGCTTTAGCTGCACCTCTATTTTTTGCTGGTAATCTTCATATCTGCTCTGTACCTCCCTCAGTTTAAATTCAGTAGTCCCTGGTTTTCAATTGCTTCTTGTCAGAGGTTTGTGTTTGTTCCTGAACCCCACAGCCTCTATGTTATTGTCTCTAGTCTTTGGATTTAGTTTATATTTGTGTTTTTCCCTGTCTTTATCTATAGCTCCAGGTACGTGTGGGTTTGTTCATTGCATTTTGCAGCAGTTTGGTTTTACCTAAGTATTATTTAAAAAAAAGGGGGGGGTGGATTTCATTTTTCATAATTGAAACAACTAAAATTTTATAAAGAAAGACTATTTGACTAAAGCTGTTAAAATATGAATTATGTATAAATATTGTAAGTGCAAGCAGAAACATTTGCTCTAATTATAATTGTCAGCATGTTAGATCATCATCAAGCAAAAAAAAAAGTTGTTTTTTTTAACAGATTATTTAAGAATTTTGATCTTGAGAAGCATTCAGAAAAACTGCACTTCATTGTGCTCATTGTGATTCTCATACTAACATTATTGCCAGTCACATTGTTACAGCAATTATTTATTCATTTATTTATTTATTAATCTTTCTTTAACCAGGCAAATCCCATTGAGATCACAGATCTCTTTTGCAAGGGAGGCCTGGGCCTGAAGGCAGTCTGACATCTATATGTTTGAACTGTGGGAGGAATCCGGAGTACACAGAGAGAACCCACACAAATATGAGGAGAACACGTAAACTCCACACAGAAAGACCCCAAGTCCAAACCAGGGATTGAACCAAGAACCTTCATACTGTGAGGCAACAGTGCTAACCACTCATTGCACTGTTCTCCAGTTTTAAAACGTATTGTTTTGTAGGAAGAATGTGTAATTAAATCACTGACACTACCTGGGAGTGTTGTGTGTGGGTGCTACGTGCAAGTAAATGTGAGTTACTGAAAGAGAGAGGTTTAGTTAAACAAATACTGAAATCTAGGCTCTTTTTTTATCTAAACGTAACACATTATTAAAATTATTTAGGCTCACAACAAATTAAAAACTGATTAACCTATAGGTTGAATTGAACACTTTTTATTTGCATCAAATTACAATTTGTGAAGTTTACAAAGGAGCTACCAGGACTGCATGTCTGAACTTGGCTCACTAATGAAGCTAAATGCTAATATCAGCAGTAAAACATGCAAATGATCAACAGGTAAAATGCTAATGATTTGCTCATTAGCACTTCATACAAAGTTTTGTAGAGACCAATTAGAATGTAAAGAGTTTTGATGTGTCACAGAGTGTGGACTTATTTCTGGCCTGCTTGTTTATTTAACGAACAAGAAGAAAAGTCTTCAGATCACTGAAGTCATGGCAGTTTACTACCTTTGGTTTATTGTAATGCATATAAAGCTTCTTTAATCATTTTTGTGCTAAGGCAATACAATAAAATGTGTGTTATTTTAGCACTCAGAGTATTGAGGGTTGGTGTGAGCTACACAAAATTATTGCTCAACGACAGTACAATTTAAAATTATTTAAAAAAATTATAGCTGTTTTTTGTTTGCAAAAGTTAAGCTGTGTCGACCGTCTTCAAACAGACTGGGATAAAATTTTAATTACTTGTAGATTTATCTCCACTGAATACTTTGAGTTTTCAAAAGATTCATCCAGCGGTGCATGGGCCATTTTGCTAACAGACGGATAATTTAGACTTGTACAATTGTTGCCAAAGTTTTAAACTAAGATCTTATGCAATATAGTAATATCCATAAAATTATATGTTATAGCAGATTTTGTGTTGCTAAAGTTGATTCACTGTGCTAGCCATTTAAAATCAGGTTGACTAGAAAAATTAATCAGTAAAATTAATCAGCTGTAAATGTTCATCCAAATATAATTTTCTGTGCATTTCCTTAAAATGTGGCCACTAGTTCACAAGATATGAGTCTTCTTCAGATCTACTGAAAGACAGACCGCTACTAGAGATCCTTCCTGCCCACAGCCATCAGCATCTAGAACAACTCTTTAATGAAATCAGGATGATGAGTTACAACATTTAATTTCCCTTTGGGATTAATAAAGTATTTTTGAATGGAATTGAATCAAATATTTTCTTAACAGTCAGAACAGTGTGATGACAAGCTACTGAAGAAGTAAGAACATCACTAGTGTTTCACATGTTCCTTTATTTTAGTCTGAAGGAACAATATACAGAGAGACAACCCAGCAACCCAGTTACCACAAATGAGAATGAATCTGCAAGGTAAAATACTCTGCAAGGTAAAATACTCTGCAAGGTAAAATACTCTGCAAG